TATGCTATGCTGGGCGTTGCTATGATATGCTGTGCTGCGCTGTGCGCTCTGCTATGCTATGGTGTCCTCTGTTATGCTAAAGCGCGGCGAAACTAAGATGAAGGTAAGCTAAGCTAAGATAAACCTGAGCTAAGATGAAACTAAGCTGTGCTAAGATGAAATAAGCTAAGCTAAGATGAGATAAGCAACGCTCAGCTAAGAGGCCGTCACTGGGGGAACCGCGGGACGGACACTGGGGGAACCGCCCGGGGCGAGGACCACTGCCCGGCCCTTTAAGCATACACGGTAAGAACCCTTCTAGGCAGAGCCTAGGTAGGGAAAAAAGGCCCCCCCCGCCAGTCAATTAAGAGAGCGCGCAAAAAAAAGCGGAGGCCCGAGTCAGTTCGTAAAGAAACCAATAACGAAAACGAGCCGGACTGGCGTCACCATCTTAGTGACTAGGACGGCCTCAAAACATGCCCGCCATGCTATGATAACGCGCAGGCTCAGGACTCCGAGGCCGAACCCTCGCGCTCGCCACGCTCCGTTCTTCGAACGGGAGGCCTGAATTGTCCGCAGCCAGGGGGAAGAACGAAGAGGGTCAGGCCAACTGGATACTTTTTTTGTTCGGCGGCCCGCAAGGAAAAGTCCAGAGGGCGTGCCAATAAGCAATGGGGCGCAATGCCAGATAATTAGTGAAGGCCGGCCACGACTGGAGGGAGCCGCCAAGAGGGGCCAACTGGATACGTGCTGCGGCGGGAAATTAATAGCCAAGAGCGCGACACCGTGACACGCTTCGGCAAGAACATTCGGAGTTTCGTTCCGTCGGCTCGTGCCGCCCGGAGAGCTCACCGGCGCTGATGCGGCATCGGATCTCCCAGGAGGTACATCCCAAGCACAGGGGGCGTTATAGCGAATCATATCATGTGGCCGATTCTCCCGGCGCCTCCTGGAGTGAGGCGCCAAAGCGTCCAAGAAAGGGGCTCGGCGGCGGGGCCGAAACCACCTGCACGCAGCAGATTTCGTGCCTCTCCCCCCCTTTCCCCATATCACTTCGACTCGTCCGGCCCGAGGGGCAGGGGGCAGAGGAGGAGGGACCTCCAGACCCCCTCGCGTCGTGAAAAAAAACCGCGGCGGACTGCTTTCTGTTTTGCCCCACCGGGCCCCGCGACCGTCAACAAAAATGGCCCGGGGAAAAAGATACTTTGGGCGGGGGCGGGGGGGAAACCGCATGCGAGCAAAGCTACCCTAATATATGACCAATCACGGTCTAACACCTTCGAGCATCTCGATCCTCAATCCTGGACGCCTTGAGCATCATCGGCACCAGGATCACCGCACCGTCAGGCAGGGCGTCGTCGGTGTTCTTGGGGCAGCTAGAGGGCGTCTCGGAGCCCGGCCTGGCGCCAACCCCCCTCCCCCTCCCGACTTCTTTGCTCGGAGACGGATGATGATGATGATGATGCTGATGATGGTGATGACGATGATGCTGATGATGATGATGAAGATGCTGATGATGACAATGCTAATGATGAAAATGAAGATGAATATGGTGATGGGGATGATGCTGATGATAGTGGTGGTGGTGGTGATGATGATGCTGATGACGATGATGCTGTTGATGCTAATGCTGATGCTGCTGCTGATGATGGTGGTGATGATGAGTATGGAAATGATAACGATGATATGGGTGATGATGGTGTCGTTGATGGTGATGCTGATGATGGTGCTGATGCTGACGGTGATGATGATGACCACGACGATGATGATGATGATGCTGATGATGAGGATGGCGATGATGATGATGCTGATGATGACGGTGATGATGATGATGATGATGATGATGATGATGATGATGGTGGTGGTGGTGGTGGTGGTGGTGATGACGATGCTGATGATGCTGGTGGTGATGATGATGATGATGATGCTGATGATGAGGCGGGCGAGGCCGCAGGAGGAGGAGGAGGAGGAAGTGGAGGAGAGGGGAGGATGCATGGTTAGAGGAGGGGGGGAGTGCGTTTTGACGTTTCCTGCCTTTTCGGGCACGGGAAGGTTTGCAATGCAACGACACGTCGCTGCACTGCCGTTTGGTCTTGCGACGGGCTGCGCCCTGGTCAAGGTGGCTGCTGGTGCCGGATCCATGCCGGGAGGCGGCGGCGGAGGACGAGGGAGCAGGCGGAGGGGAAACAGGAGCAGGACAATGATGATGGAGATGGGGGAGAGTGGAGGGAGGGAGGACGAGGAGGCGAAGCGCGAAGGATGAGCCGGGAGATGAAGGGCGATGGAGGGGTGAGGGAGATGACCGGGAGAGAAGAGCGGCGTCGGCGGAGGACGAGTGAGGAGGAGGAGGAGGAGGAGGAGGAGGAGGAGGAGGAGCTTTCCTCCCCGACTGACCAGCATGCCGCTTTCGCTTGGCCCCGCCCGCTGCGAGAGCTCGCCTCTTGCCTCCTTGCTGCTGCCGTGCCTGCCCTCTGCTCCCCTCCGCCCCCGTGCTCGCGCTCCGTCGCCTCGACCCTCGTGCGCTGCGCCCGGCTAGGCGACCGACGAGGAAGAGGAGGCGGACCCTCGGAGCCGACGTCACAGTTTCCAGACCTCTCGATCCCGCCGGGGGCCCGTGCTCCATCTCAAGCTTTTGTTGCTGCTTGCCCCCGGGGCCCGGGAGGGAGCCGAGGCCGGGACGCCGGGGGAGAAAAGGCCGCCGCCACCGTGTCCTCGCGACGCGGGAGGTTGGAGGGAAGCAGACGAAGAGAAAGAAGAAGGCGAGGGAGGAGACGAAGAAGAGCCAGCGGATCGGGGTCGGGATCGGGCCCGTGGAGTGCCGGCGCCTGCCAGAAGGCATCGCGAGTGAAGGCTGGAGACCGCGAAACCGCGCCCTGTGGCGAAACTCCGTTGGCCGCCAACCTGGCAGGCGGCCCGCCGTCCCGGGCGGTGCCGCACGGTCCCCTGTGTAGGGCAACCTTTCAGTAGGGCACGCAGCCCAGGGGGGCGTCCCTACGAGAGGGACACGAGGAGGGGCGCAGGAATGTGGGGATGAGGAGGGCGAGATCGCACGAGGAGGCAAAGTGGAAGGTCTCCTGAAGGTCTCTGGCCAGAAACCCAGAAATCGTCCGAGAATCTCTCGATCATCGCCCCTGGATCCTCGAGGCGGGGGGGAGGAGGAGGAGGAGGAGGAGGAGGAGGAGGAGGAGGAGGAGGAGGAGGAGGAGGAGGAGGACGACGAGGAGGAGGAGGGGGAGGATGTTCAGGAGCCATGGGGGGGGGGGGGCCGGACGAGCCACGATGACCCACCTACAGTAGAGCATGAAGCCCTGGGACTCAGAACACCCACCCCAGACATCCGGCCGCTCCGATGTCTTGGGGGCGTGGGCCCCGGAGTTCTGGACAACTTCCCTAGGGCCAGTGTTTCGCCCTGAGTCGTTTTCGCTGGTCTCGCGGCCTGGCGAGGGCACCCGGAGGCCGAACACGGCCAAACACCGACCGCTCCGATTTCTGTCGCAGCGTTGGATCTCTGGGACATGGCCAGCCACGACCCCTCACGCCCGTTTGGACCTGCTGGCCACTGGCGCCGACGGGCGGGCGGCACTCCTGGGTGGGCCGACGCCCATGGCCTGGCCCACACGTGGGCACCCGCCGAACAACCGCGAGTAGCCCGTGGGACAGGACGGTCGGGCCCACCAGGAGGAAGAACGAGGAGAAGGATGGCGAAGGAGGATAGCGGAGGGGGATCGTGGAGGAGGATGGCGGAGGAACAGGAGGAGGAGGAGGAGGAGGAGAAGGAGGAGGAAGAGAAGGATGAGGAGGAGAAGAAAGGGAGGAGGAGGAGGAGGAGGAGGAGGAGGGAGGAGGAGGAGGAGGAGGAGGAGGAGAAGAAGAAGAAGAAGAAGAAGAAAGAGGAGGCGAAATAGGACACAACAGGACGCGGACGACGACGACGAGGCTGCCCGAGAGGAGGCGCCGCGCCGCAAGGGGAGGCCCGCTCCGAAGGCGGCCACCCGCCCTCCTGGGCCCCTCCCTGGCGGTGGCGTCCTCTTCAGGCCGGTGCCATTCATGGACAGGTCCTGCGGCCCGTGCGGAGCATCCTCCTCCTCCTCCTCCTCCTCTCCTCCTCCTCCTACCTCCTCTCTCTCCTCCTTCCTCCTCTCCTTCCTTCTCCTCTCCTCCTCCTCCTCCTCCTCCTCCTCCTCCTCCTCCTCCTCCTCCTCCTCCCTCCTCCCTCCTCCTCCCTCCTCGCCCCTCCCCTCCTCTCCCCTCCTCCTCCTTCCTCCTCCTCACCTCCTCCTCCCTCCTCCTCCTCTCCCTCCTCCTCCTCCTCCTCCTCCCCTTCCTCCTCCTCCTCCCTCCTATCCTCTCCTCCTCCTCCTCCTCCCTCTCCTCCGCCTCCTCCTCCCTCCTCCTCCTCCTCCTCCCCTTCCTCCTTTTCCTCCTCCTCCTCCTCCTCCTCCTCCTCCTCGTCCTCCTCCTCCTCCTCCTCCTCTCCTTCATCCTCCTCCTCCTCCTCCTCTTCCCCTCCCCTCCTCCTCCTCCTCCTCCTTCCTCCTCCGCCTCCTCCTCCTCTCCTCCTCCTCCTCCTCCTCCTCCTCCTCCTCCTCCTCCTCCTCCTCCTCCTCCCCCTTTTCATCGTGCGTTCCTGGGAGGGTCTCTTGTGCACCCGCAGGTGGCCACACATGTGAACCCTAACCCCACGCCCTACGATTCCGAAGGGGGGGTGGGACGTCACTCCACTCGGGAGCTCCCGAACGAAGCGAAACCCCAACCCCCCTCAGAAATCGTGGGGGGTGGAGGGTTCTCATGTGGCCGCCAGACCCTGCGGCCCAGGCGGAGGAGTGAGGACCTTTTGTGCACCTTACCCATCGGTCGGAAGAAATAAGCAAAAGCATGAAGTAGGAAGGCGGATCACGTAGCTTGGTCCTGGTCCTCCTGGAGAGGAACAGGACGCAGCAACGGCACATCGATGTTCCAAGTAGTAAGGCGCCGCTCTAAGTAGATCTGGGAAGCCAGAACATCTATACTTTCAACGACCGACGGACACCCAGACCCCCGACGGCATGATTGTTTCATGACGTCGACCCCCAACGGTCTCGACCCATTCCCCATGTCCGGCTTTTCATCCTGGACCGTTTTTTGACGGTCCCGAGGCCTAAGACGGGCCCCTCGAGGCCAAAAACAGCTAAAAAACGCCCGTGGTGAGTTTATTCCCAACCATCCTGTGGTGTTGGGTCCTCGTTTTGAAGAGACAGCGCCCCGCGTCCTAACTCCTCTCCTCCTCCCCCTCCTCCCTCCTCCTTGCGTTTCATCATCATCACCCGTTTCAGCACACCCCTCACACGCTTCGTGGCCCCATAGGGAGCTCCACCGAAGGCCCCAATCGGACCGCCCGCATGCGTCACGCACCACCCAGTACAGCGTTTCGTGGCCCATGGGGAACTCCACAGACGGCCCTAGTGACACCGCCCGCATGCGTCACGCACCACCCAGTACAGCGCTTCGTGGCCCCATAAGGAGCTCCACCGAAGGCCACAATGAGACCGCCCGCATGCGTCACGCACCCCCCAGTACAGCGTTTCGGGCCTCCATAGGGAGCTCTACCGAAGGTCCCAGGGGGACCGCCCGCATGCGTCACGCACCACCCAGTACAGCGCTTCGTGGCCCCATAGGGAGCTCCACCGAAGGTCCCAGTGGGACCGCCCGCATGCGTCACGCACCACCCAGTACAGCGCTTCGTGGCCCCATAGGGAGCTCCACCGACGGCCCCAATGGGACCGCCCGCATGCGTCACGCACCACCCAGTACAGCGCTTCGTGGCCCCATAGGGGGCTCCACCGACGGCCCCAGTGCCACCGCAAGCATGCGTCACGCACCACTCAGTACAACGTTTCGTGGCCCCATGGGGAGCTGCCTCTTGGTTCCATTATGGGCTGCCTTGGGGCAATCGTGGGCGATCGTGGGGCCCGGCTCGGCCGTCTTGAAGCTCTCTTGGGGGCCGTTTGGGGCGTCTTGAGGCGATCTCGGGGGTTTTGAAACCGTCTTGAAAGCTGATGAAATCCGAAAGGCGAATCTGCTAAACTTGTAAGTTTTACAAAGGGAATGGCACGATTTTTGTGCTTTGAAGGCCCCTTGGGAATGCTTTTTGAGGTGCCTTGGGGGTCTTTATGTTGGCATTCGGAAACATCGTGGGGGTATTTTCGGGGCCCTCGTGGGCCGTTTTGGCGCCTTCATGGGCCGTCCTGGGGCCTTCTTGGGCCGTCTTGGGGAGCTCGGCCCCGCTGGAGCCCCCTTTGGACCCACCTTGGGCACTTCCAGGGACCTCCCATGGCCCTTTTGCGTCTGTGCTGGGAGCCCTTGGGGGGCCTCTTGGTTCCACTATGGGCTGTCTTGGGGCTCTCGTGGGCGATCGTGGGGCCCGGCTCGGCCGTTTTGAAACTTCCTTGGGGGCCTTTTGAGGCGTCTGGAAGCGATCTCGGGGGCTTTGAAACCGTCTTGAAAGCTGATGAAATCCGAAAGGCGAATCTGCTAAAATTGTAAGTTTACGAAGGGGATGGGACGATTTTTGTGCTTTGAAGGCCCCTTGGGAAGCTTTTTGGGGTGCCTTGGGAGTCTTTTGGGCCGTCCTGACGCAATTGGAGTCCCTCTTGGAGCGCTCTTGTGCTGTCTGGGGCCTCCCTTGAACCTTTCTGACCCCTCGGATCGCTCTGGGTCTGCTGGGAAGGCGTTTGTGGAGACCCGGAAAGCCGGGTGACCTTTTCCAAGGACGTCCAAGGGAGCCCGACGAGAACACCAGATCCCGGGGGTCCAGTTTTGGGGGGGGGATGGTTTCCCCCCCCCCCGCTTGTAAACATATAAGAAAAGGAATATGTATATGCATATAACTATGGGTTCGCATACACACGCGTATCTCAGGCGGTAGTGGCCTGACCAGTTGCTCAGGGCATCTCGCGAATTAAAGGTACGAGGGACTCAGGCGAAAATGGCCAGATTACCATTGGACAATGCACCGCCGAGGTCAGTGTGCGAGGATGTCTCAAGCGAAAAAGGCCTGAACACTTCCGCTCGGGACATACCAGAACTCAGAGTTGCGAGGATGTCTCAAGCGAAAACGGCCTGAACACCATAGCTCAGGACAGACCGAAACTCAGTGACGCGAGGATGTCTCAAGCGAAAGTGGCGGAATACCATGGGGCAAGGCATCTCGGAACCCAGAGCTGCGAGAACGTTTCTAGCGAAAGTGGCCCGAACACCTTAGCTGAAGGAGCCCTGGGACGTAGAGTTGCGAGAAAGTCTCAAAGCGGAAGTGGCTGGACCACCTTGGGGCAGGGCTTCTCCGAGGTCAGAGTTCGGAGGAGGTCTCAGGCCACAGTGGTCTGATTTCCTCAGCTCAGGGCACCTCGGAACCGAAGGTTGCGAGGATGGCTCTGGCGAAAGTGACCGGAACACCGCAGCTTAGGACATCCCCAGACGCAGAGTTGCGAGGATGTCGCATGCGGAAATGGCCAGACCACCTTTGGGGTAGGGCACCTCCGAGGTCAGAGTTGCGAGGATGTCTTAGGCGCAACTGGCCCGAGCACTATGGGGCGGGGCATCTCCGAAGTCAGCCTTGCGAGGACGTCTCAAGCGAAGAGTGGTTTGAACACCTCAGCTCAGGGCATCCCGAAATCCAGAGTTGCGAGAAGTCGCAGGCGAAAGCAGGCTAACCACCATGGTGCAGGGCACCTCCGAAGTCCGACTTGCGAGACTGTCTCAGGCGAAATTGGCCTGAACACGTCAGGCCAAGGCGTCTCGGACTCCAGAGTTGCGAGGATGTCTCAGGCGAAAATGCCGGGACCACTGCAAGGCAAAGCGTTTCCGAGGTGGGAGTTGTGAGCATACCAAGGCGAAGCGGATCTTTGGGGGTCTTTTCGGGGCCCTCGTGGGCCGTTTTGGCGCCTTCATGTGCCGTCCTGGGGCCTTCTTGGGCCGTCTTGGGGAGCTTGGGCCCGCTGGAGCCCCCTTTGGACCCATCTTGGGCACTTCCGGGGACCTCCCATGGCCCTTTTGGGTCTGTGCTGGGAGCCCTTGGGGGGCCTCTTGGTTCCATTATGGGCTGTCTTGGGGCTCTCGTGGGCGATCGTGGGGCCCGGCTCGGCCGTCTTGAAGCTTTCTTGGGGGCCTTTTGGGGCGTCTGGAGGCGATCTCGGGGGCTTTGAAACCGTCTTGAAAGCTGATGAAATCCGAAAGGCGAATCTGCTAAGATTGTAAGTTTTACGAAGGGGATGGGACGATTTTTGTGCTTTGAAGGCCCCTTGGAAAGCTTTTTGGGGTGCCTTGGGGGTCTTTATGTTGGCATTCGGAAACATCGTGGGGGTGTTTTCGGGGCCCTCGTGGGCCGTTTTGGCGCCTTCATGGGCCGTCCTGGGGCCTTCTTGGGCCGTCTTGGGGAGCTTGGGCCCGCTGGAGCCCCCTTTGGACCCATCTTGGGCACTTCCGGGGACCTCCCATGGCCCTTTTGGGTCTGTGCTGGGAGCCCTTGGGGGGCCTCTTGGTTCCATTATGGGCTGTCTTGGGGCTCTCGTGGGCGATCGTGGGGCCCGGCTCGGCCGTCTTGAAGCTTTCTTGGGGGCCTTTTGGGGCGTCCGGAGACGATCTCGGGGGCTTTGAAACCGTCTTGTAAGCTGATGAAATCCGAAAGGCGAATCTGCTAAGATTGTAAGTTTTACGAAGAGGATGGGACGATTTTTGCGCTTTGAGGGCCCCTTGGGAAGCTTTTTGGGGTGCCTTGGAGGTCTTTAGGGCCGTCCTGACGCAATTGGAGTCCCTCTTGGAGCGCCCTTGGGCTGTCTGGGGCCTCCCTTGAGCCTTTCTGACGACCCGTCGGATCGCTCTGGGTCTGCTGGGAAGGCGTTTGTGGAGACCCGGAAAGCCAGGTGACCTTTTCCAAGGACGTCCAAGGGAGCCCGAGAACCCCAGATCCCGTGAGTCCAGTTCTTTTTTTTTAGGGGGGGGGGGTGAAGGTTTCCCCCCCCCCCCCCGGGCTTGCAAAAATATAGGACGAGGATATAGATATTTATATATATATACACATATATACATATATATACAAATATATATATATATATATATATATATGTATATATATGCAAAACTGCATTGGCGCTGCGCGCCATGCAATCTTGGTCCTTTGAGTTCTGCACGCAAGCGGAATGCGCGCGTGCGTACATGCGCGCATGCATATATATATATATATATATATATATATATACATATATATATATATATATACACGCGCACGTGCATGCACGCTCCGCATAAATGTTTAGGTGTATACAATGTACTTAAATTGTTGTATGTGTATACAGCGTACAGGGGTACATGTAAAGTTATGTGTGTAAGGGTTTGAACATGCATATGCAACTCGTACGGGGCATCCTCGGGCATCTTCGCTGCATGCCACGAGACCCTCAACGACTGGGTCACAATGTGAAATGTCATGGGAGCAAAATCAATGAATGTTGGCATTCGGAAACTTCGTGGGGGTGTTTTCGGGGCCCTCGTGGGCCGTTTTGGCGCCTTCATGGGCCGTCCTGGGGCCTTCTTGGGCCATCTTGGGGAGCTTGGGCCCGCTGGAGCCCCCTTTGGACCCATCTTGGGCACTTCCGGAGACCTCCCAAGGCCCTTTTGGGTCTGTGCTGGGAGCCCTTGGGAGGCCTCTTGGTTCCATTATGGGCTGTCTTGGGGCTCTCGTGGGGCCTAGCTCGGCCGTTTTGAAGCTTTCTAGGGGGCCTTTTGGGGCGTCTTGAGGCGATCTCGGGGGCTTGAAACCGTCTTGAAAGCTGATGAAATCCGAAAGGCGAATCTGCTAAAATTGTAAGTTTTACTAAGGGAATGCCACGATTTTTGTGCTTTGAAGGCCCCTTGGACATCTTTTTGGGGTGCCTTCGGGGTCTTTATGTTGGCATTCGGAAACATCGTGGGGGTGTTTTCGGGGCCCTCGTGGGCCGTTTTGGCGCCTTCATGGGCCGTCCTGGGGCCTTCTTGGGCCGTCTTGGGGAGCTTGGGCCCGCTGGAGCCCCCTTTGGACCCATCTCGGGCACTTCCGGGGACCTCCCATGGCCCTTTTGGGTCTGTGCTGGGAGCCCTTGGGGGGCCTCTTGGTTCCATTATGGGCTGTCTTGGGGCTCTCCCCGCTCGGCCGTCTTGAAGCTCTCTAGGGGGCCTTTTGGGGCGTCTTGAGGCGATCTCGGGGGCTTTGAAACCGTCTTGAAAGCTGATGAAATCCGAAAGGCGAATATGCTCGTTTTACAAAGGGAATGCCACGATTTTTGTGCTTTGAAGGCCCCTTGGACATCTTTTTGGGGTGCCTTCGGGGTCTTTATGTTGGCATTCGGAAACATCGTGGGGGTGTTTTCGGGGCCCTCGTGGGCCGTTTTGGCGCCTTCATGGGCCGTCCTGGGGCCTTCTTGGGCTGTCTTGGGGAGCTTGGGCCCGCTGGAGCCCCCTTTGGACCTATCTTGGGCACTTCCGGGGACCTCCCATGGCCCGTCTGTGCTGGGAGCCCTTGGGGGGCCTCTTGGTTTCATTATGGGCTGTCTTGGGGCTCTCGTGGGCGATCGTGGGGCCGGGCTCGTCCGTCTTGAAGCTTTCTTGGGGGCCTTTTGGGGCGTCTGGAGGCGATCTCGGGGGCTTTGAAACCGTCTTGAAAGCTGATGAAATCCGAAAGGCGAATCTGCTGAACTTGTAAGTTTATGAAGGGGATGGGACGATTTTTGTGCTTTGAGGGCCCCTTGGAAAGCTTTTTGGGGTGCCTTGGGGGTCTTTTGGGCCGTCCTGACGCAATTGGAGTCCCTCTTGGAGCACTCTTGTGCTGTCTGGGGCCTCCCTTGAGCTTTTCTGATGACCCCTCGGATCGCTCTGGGTCTGCTGGCAAGGCGTTTGTGGAGACCCAGAAAGCCGGGAGACCTTTTCCAAGGACATCCAAGGGAGCACGAAAACCCCAGATCCCCGGGGTCCAGTTTTTTGGGGGGGGGATGGTTTTTCCCCCCCTGGGCTTGTAGAAATATAGGAAGAGGAATATGTATGTATGTATCTCTCTCTATACATGTGTATATATATACATATATATATATATATATATATATATATATATACATGGATTCCTCTTCCCATACTTGTATAAGCCCGGGCGGGGGGAAAACCCCTCCCCCCCAAAAACAAAAAAAACGGACTCCCAGGATCCGGGGCTTTGGGACCCTCTGGACGGGCCTCGAAGCGGCCCCCCGGGCCTCGCAGGGTGTTTTGCCAAGACTTCCCAGCACACCTAGGGCGATCAGGGGGGTCATCGGAGACGTCCCAGAGACCCCCAGGACAGCACAAGAGCGCTCCAAGAGTGACCGACGTTACCTCAAGATGGCACAAGAGTCCTCCAGGACGGCCCCAAAGAAGTCTCCAAGAGCACTCCAAAGAAGGCCCCAAGAGGCACAACTCATTTATTTTCTTATGGTTTTTGGTGAAATTTGGGGCTCTCCTCTTTTCGGCTTCCCGACGCTCCAAGACGCCGGTCTTCTGGGCGTCCGAAGCCGCCTGCGAGGCTCCAAAATCGCCCCACAACCATCCGAAAGGGCTTCCAGGCAGTCCAAGAGAGCCCCAAAACGGCACAACACGGGTCCAAGATGGCCGTCAGAGAGCCCCATGGCGGTCCAAGATGGCCCCAAGACACCCTCCGAAGCACTCCAAATCGTGACCCGGTCGTTCAGGGAAACCGCGGTTGGAGGCAGGGTGGCCCGAGGAAGCCCCCAGAGGCCCCCAGAACACGCCCAGGAGGCCTCCAGAAGGCCTTACGAAAGCCTGAAACAACTTTTGTGAAGCCCCCAGAGGCTCTCCAAGGAGGAGCCTCCGCAAAAAAGAGCTGACGAGGATGGGGAGAATGCGCAGGGTATGGCGAAAATGAGGAAAACAGAAGCATGGAGGAAGGACAACGAACAACATGATCATAGCGGCGATGCCAGGAAAGGCAACCAAGAGTTTTCGCTGATTTGCCGGCTTGACCTTCCTGCTATTCCGCCTTCCTACCAAACTTCAAGGACCAAGGTGCGTGGCGCGAAGCGCCACTGCACACATGCATATATATATATATATATATATATATATATATATGTATAGTGTTATATTGTTATATATATAACAATATATATAAATATATATAGATGGTTGTATATATCTATATATATATATATATGCATCGCTACGTTCCAGTCGCCCCCCCCCGCTTGCGGTGCCCAGTCCCTGATGCAGAGCCGCGGCTCGCTGCCGCCCTCCGCGAGCCGGACCTGCGCGGGCGCCGGCGACGACCAGCCGCCCCGCCCGCGCTTGCGGGGAGGGGCGCGCCGCCGAGGGCCGCCGGCGACGGCGGGGAGGCGACGGCGGGCCTCCTACTCCTCCTCTTCCAACCTCATCCTTCTCCTCATCCTCGTCCTCCTCCTTCTCCTCCTCCTCCTCCTCCTCCTCCTCCTCCTCCTCCTCCTCCTCCTCCTCCTCCTCTCCTCCCCTATCATCTTCATCCTTATCCTCATCATAATCATCATCCCCCTCCCTCTCTTGATCCTCCTCCTCCTGCTCCCCGACGGCGGGGAGGCAGAGCCGCGGGCGAGGGCGCCGAGCGCCGCCACCCCGCCTGCTGCGGTCGAAATCGGGCGCGCCCCTCGTTCGGGAGGAGTTAGTGGAGGCATGAGGCAGGAGGGCGACGAAGGTAGCTCGGGCTTCCGCCCGCCCCCTGAGAAGGACGAGGGGGGGGACACCGTTCGACGTCTGGAAAAAAGGACGGCGCCTGAAGCAGACCGGAATCTGGATGGCAGAGAATACAACTGATGGGTAAGGGTGGATGGGCAGCGCCTAGAACGCGCCAAGATGTCAGGGTACCTTCTGGCTGGTACTATGCGAGCCACTCGCGCCCGTCGAAATCCTTCCAACACCTTAATCACCGACACATGGACACCATCACCGTCATCGGCGTGATCAGTGTCGGTGGCGTCATTGGCTTTGCCGTCGTTATCGTCACCACTGCAACCAGCATCGCTACTCCCTCGCCTACAACAGAGGGTGTCTATGTCTATCTCCCTGGCGTTCTCCACAAAACAAGGGTTGCACAACTCCTAAAAAGTATTCGTGTCTTCTTTCTCCGTGTCGCGCACACTTAACGCAAACAGAAGCGGGAAAGACATATAATGTGTCATCAAGTGTGGCTTCCAAGATGGAGACAAATCTGAAGACCAATCTAGACGTCGCGGCGCGCGGGCGATGCCGTCGGGGAGTCCCAGGGAAGCTCCTTGCGGCGGCCACGCCCAGCGTCACGAGTACTCAGAGGCAGTCATTGTCAAACTATTGACATTCATACACAATTGCACCACGCTTTGTCATAATCGCATTCATGCACGTAGACTCGCTGGCACGCAGATTCACTCGCAGTCAGACGCACGCGCGCAGATTCACCCGCGCTCAGTCTCCCTACGTACTCAGATCAATCGTTCTCGTTCGCGTTGTGTACCACGCCACTCATGTCGGCACACCCCTAGCACGGTTCGTTGCCTCATAGGGATCGCCACCGAAAAAGTGAATCACTATTGCGGTACTCACACCTGCATATGGTTGGGTCCCTCGTCAGGCTAATCTTTTTTCTGCAGAGGATGAGGAGGGAGCGTTACTGGTTTGGCAGAGATGATATGAGTTCGTTTTTTTTATGATGGACTATGGTGCAGAAGCATATTTAAATCGCACTACGAAAAAAAAAGGGTTAGCGTTTCAATACGTGGGGTGCGGGTATCCTGATACGTTTTAGGAAGGGGGGATATATACACACACATCTATATATAGTGCAATTATTTGGGCCCCGCAGCAAGTTGTCAGCTCCATTGCGCTCGCAATCGTCCCACCCTCCCACCCGCCATTTGGTTTGCAAACCACATATGGCAGCGATTGCGGTGACTGTTCGGCGCTGCCTGGTGCATCGCTGCGGCCGCGCAAGCGCGCTGGCTCGCGCGCAGAACGGCCAACTAGTCTGGCGCGACAAACGCGGCCTCGGTGATGCTGACCGCTGGGGATTTCCCAGAGCGTCCCGCAGGCGGCGTTGCCGCGCGGGCGCTTCAGTGCGAGCCGGTGATTCGGGCGGACGCGGTATCATCGCGACGTCGACAGCGGCAATTTCGAGCATGATCGCCCTAGCTTGCACGACGCCCAAAAGATCGAAGTCAGATCTGGTTCGGTCATGATGCCCCAAGCAGTTGTCGAACTTTGATAAGAATGTTGATGGTTCCCGCGTTCCTGTTCATTGCAGCTGGGCCACCGGCTTGAGACGTCCTCGCATGTCCATGTTGGTTATGTGTCTACCCGTGCCTACAATGAAGCATGCCTGTGTTTGCGAAGCGTGCCTATCTGTTAGTGCCTACCAGCGTTTCTTTTCACAGTTTGCAACTATCCGCGTCCTTCCTGTCGCGCTTATGTTTGGGATACGTGTCGATCTTCCCGCGATACACCCGCATTGGAGAGCCACTGGTTCGTGCGCGTTTGTCGTGCGTATTCGTATATGACTCGGCGTGCGCGTGAGCATATGTATACACGTCTGTTTCTTTCCCATTACATCGCGTTCCTGGGCGCTCTACCCCGCCCCCCTGACGCCCCCCCTATCCGTTGCAACCCTCGGCGCTCCTGTGGATTCCTCCCCATTCCACCCTCTGGCGCCCCCACTACTCCACACTCCTCGTTTCATCTCGCTCGACCAGGCTTCTCCCGGCTCCTCTTCCCGATGTCTCACCATTCCATCGGGCTCCTCGGCGCTCGTCGGCATTCGTGCAGACTCCTCCACGCCCAATCGCACTCCTCAGTGCTCCTCCAGAATTCCCCCCCCCACTCCATCGCACTCTTCGACGCTCCTCCTGACTCTTCCCGACTCCTCCCCACTCAATCGCACTCTCTTCGGCATGTCTCCCCACTCCATCGCACGCCTCGGTGCTTCTTCCCTCTCCTCAGGATTCTTCCGCACTCCATCGCACTCTGCGGCATTCCTCCCCGCCCCCCCCGCCTATCCCCTCTGTAACGCCACCCTCGGCACTCATTTTATTATGTCCCACTCAACCCTTCGGCAGTCCCTTCTGCTCCAGACTCCTCGTTCAATTTCACTCGCCAGCATCCCTCCCGACTCCTCCCGACTCCTCCCCAGTCGCTCGCACCCTTCGGCGCTCATCCAGACTCCAGCCCACTCCATCGCATTCAACGGCGCTCCACGCCACTCATCCCGACTCCACCGCGCTCCTCGGCTCTCCTCCTGACTCCTCCTTTCTTCATCGCACTCCTCGGCCCCCCCCCTCATTCCTTCAGCCCCCCCCCCCGCGCTCACTCGCACTCCGCTGCGCTCCTCCAAACACTATTCTTGCCTTCGCGCTCCTCGGAGTTCCCCCCCAAACTCCCCATGCCACTGGATCCCTCACACGTGGGTGTGCATGTGTGCAGGACAACGTGAATGCATCCGTACACGGTCGCGTGTATATACACATGCAGACACACCCGTAATCATGTCTATCATTCGTTGTTTTGTTGTGCGAGCCCGTCTTCAGATATGTGTTCATCTCTATGTGAGTCTATTAGTGTCTGAGTCGTGCCCATGTGGTACGCGTGTCTAATGTGGTGTTAGCACGGACGCTCGTGTCTATGTATGATGCCAGCTCGCCAATGTCGGCGCGCCCCCCCGCGAGGATCGCGCCCGTTTCCTCCCCTTCCTTTACTCCCTCTTTGCCCGCGCACTCAAAAGTCCAAGGCTGCGGGCGCAGCGCAGCACGGAGCCCCCCCGACGCGCGCAGGTCGCCCCGGAGGGGTCCCAGCGACGCGCGCGGGTCGCCCGCTGCGCGGAGCAAAGATAGCTAGCTGGCTGGCTGGGACCTGCGGTGGGGCTCCATATGGGGCCACGTAACGCTGTACTGGGCAAGGGAGACGCATGTGGACTGCGCCACGGGGACCTTCGGTGGAGTTCCCTATGGGGCCACGAAACGTGTGAGGGGTGTGCCGAAATGAATGGCGGGGACGCATGCGGACTGCGCCACGGGGGCCGTCGGTGGAGTTCCTATGGGGCCACGAAACGTGTGAGGGGTGTGCCGAAATGAGCTGTGGGGACGCCTGCGGACTGTGCCAATGGGACCTTCGGCGGAGCCCCCATGGGGCCACGAAACGTGTGAGGGGTGGGCCGAAATGAATGGCGGGGGCGCATGCGGACTGTGCCACTGGCACCTTCGGTGGAGCTCCTATGGGGCCACGAAACGTGTGAGGGGTGTGCTGAAATGAATGGCGGGGACGCATGCGGACTGTGCCACCGGGACCTTCGGCGGAGCTCCTATGGGGCCACGAAGCGTGTTAGGGGTGGGCCGACATGAATGGCGGAGATGCATGCGGACTGTGCCACCGGGACCTTCGGCGGAGCTCCTATGGGGCCACGAAACGTGTGAGGGGTGTGCCGAAATGAGCGGCCGGGACGCATGCGGACTGTGCCACCGGGACCTTCGGCGGAGCTCCTATGGGGCCACGAAACGTGTGAGGGGTGTGCCGAAATGAGCGGCCGGGACGCATGCGGACTGTGCCAATGGGACATTCGGCGGAGCCCCTATGGGGCCACGAAACGTGTGAGGGGTGGGCCAAAATGAATGGCGGGGACGCATGCGGACTGTGCCACTGGGACCTTCGGCAGAGCTCCTATGGGGCCACGAAACGTGTGAGGGTTGTGCCAGAATTACACACCCACTGGGACCTTCGGTTGGGCTCCCTATGGGGCTACGAAACGTGTGAGGGGTGTGCCGAAATGGGTGCGCGGGGCGCATGCGCACACACCCACTGAGACCTTCGGTGGAGCTCCCTATGGGGCCACAAAACGTATGAAGGGTGTGCCGAAATGGGTGTGCGGGACGCGTGCGGGCACACCCACTGGGACCTTCGGTGGAGCTTCCTATGGGGCCACGAAGCGTGTGAGGGGTGTGCCGAAATGGGTGTGCGGGACACATGCGGGCACACCCACTGGGACCTTCGGTGGAGCTCCCTATGGGGCCACGAAGCGTGTGAGGGATGTGCCGAAATGGGCGTGCGGGACGCATGCGGGCACACCTACTGGGACCTTCGGTTGGTCTCCCTATGGGGCCGCGGAACGTGTGAGGGATGTGCCGAAATGGGTGTGCGGGACGCATGCGGGCACACCCACTGGGACCTTCGGTGGAGCTCCCTATGGGGCCACGAAACGTGTGAAGGGTGTGCCAAAATGGGTGTGCGGGACGCATGCGGGCACACCCACTGGGAACTT